CTCTGCGTTTCCCTCTTGACGTAATTTGTCTTTAATTTGTTCTCAAAAAAAAGTCGCTGGCATCTTCTTCGGACCGAATATTCAGTTGTATCAAGACATCGAGGTCAATATGCGCTCGTTTTGTTTCCCTTGTTATGCCCAGCGTTGCTTGTTGCACCCCTTTCGAATCTGTGTAAATCAAACGTCGGGGAGATTCTTGACAGAGAAGGTTTGCGGGCGGTTCACTCGCGGTGGAAGAATGCACTTCCGGCTTGATCTCCTTCCGGGAAAGAAACAAAACAACGGTTGGACAGACAGCCAAACTCTGCCTGCCAAGGAAAAGAAACTTGTCTCTATTTTATATCCCGATTGCCGCCCTTCATGCCTAGCTTAGTTACGGCCCGAAAGACGGCAAAGAAAGAGCAATTGTCGACCTGGGGACTCTGATGATGTTGTCATGCATTGTCGTAGGCCGTGTGTCTTGTCAGGTGACCAAGTGGTTTATATACATAGGCCCCTGGCTTACATACGATGGACACAATACAACAAACGGATTCTGAGAGAGACCGGCGCTCTTCTCTTCTCCTTACAGCGAAGCCGCTCGTCTTTCTGCGAAGTGCTGCCAAAATCTTAAGACGGCATACGACCAGAGGATGCATCTGTCCGATCGATCGCCCGGCATCTGTGTCTGTGATGCAAGTTGTGCTGACAATTTCAATCCTTGCCAGACGCTCTACTAAAACTGTGTCTAATTATTTGCCCGATACACGCGGGGGTCAGTGTATGAGCCGACCGCACATCAAGATGAATGCCCGTCATGCCGGCCTTGGCACGCGGGTTGGGTATGTGCTGGAAGCCTGTGCGGTGGGCTGGCAAAAGGCACTCTGTCGGAGAATAAAGAAGCTGCGTGGAAGGCGATCAGGAAATATTTGGAAAATCAGAATGAATGTGGGTTTTCCCCGTGATAATGCTCATGTTGGTTTTCTTCGCCGCATAGAACCTGGTGTTTCAGCCAAGTTCGTGAGCCGTAAAGTGTTGGACGGGCAAGGCAGGTGGCAGTTGAAACAAGCACTGTCAGAAAGCTTATGTTCTTCCAATTTGCAAATTCTCGTCTCTTTACCTATACTCCATGTCCCCAGTAAATATACGACGTTTGTAATCGTCTAATCCAGCTCTGTTTACATCAAATTCTCCACTACGATGTAAGGTGCCAAGTTCAACGCCAAGCCGGCAGTCGCATATTCCTGATTAAAACGGTGTCAGAAAGGCTCTGAATAGGCCGACAAAGCCAGATGAGAAGTCAAAGATGCAGAAAGAAACGATGGAAAGTGAGCCAGAAATTCAATATGACAAATTAAAATAAGAAAGGACAACGAGCCAGGCAAGCTATTTGTGAACTGAGTCCCATAAACCCCCGGCTGTCAGCCGACTCGTAGATTTATTCTCCGACATGGTTCTACGTCTTGTCAGCCTAGGGATTGAGAAGCGCAGAAAGAGGAACGTAAAAGCGCAGTTCGAGTTCGGTGTTCCTTTAATTACATAAAACTGGGCAGTAAAAGATGCAACGGACGTCCATTTGAGCACCTGCATGAGTGCATGAGTCTGTATGAACCGAAATGGAAAGAGCAAAGAGATCAAGGTCGCGCGGCTTCTATTCTTGTCAAGAAGTGGCCGACTTACAGTTTGGAAGTAGCGATCGTGGATGTCCGGCTTGTACCTTCCATTTGCGTGTTTCGTTTGTTTCTTCCAAGCTCTTGTTGCAATTCCCCTTTTGGGAAACCCGTCAAGCCCCTTTTCATGATTCTCCAATTTTGCTTCCTTTCAACCTTGAATAGCTGTGCAATAACGATTCCATCCTCACCCATCACGCTTTTCGTTCTTGCTCGCGGGCAGCTTAACATTGCCGACCACACTCAAGAGCCACAGCATGGAACAGGAAAAGAATCGATACGTGGTCGAGTGGACCCACGCAAGACAACCAGTGCAAGGAAGAATTGTCAACCACGGGTGAGGAACTGACGTCCTCCGGCCGAGGCAACTCCTTCCCTCGTTTCTTCGTGTTTCCACTGTTTCTTGGCAATACCTGCCATTGCTGGCATTGTGTACGAACATCGAATCTGCTTCATCTCGTCCTCATATTCTTTACCCACAACAGAGGACACTGCATCCGAGTCTACTAGAAGAAACATCCTCTACTTTCACCCGTCTTGGTCCAAGTTACTCGTGAAAGGGAAAAGTAGTTCATCGAGGACTGTCGACCATGAGGGGCTCGACACGGTAGACGGGCGATGTACGCGAAACGACGTCTCGAGATCCACACTGCAAGACTTGATACGCCAATACGTGGGTTATCTGATGGACTGTGCTACTTTGTTTCTCCTTTGAGGCATGGGATGTGTATGATCTGTGACTCTCGCCACGCGTTGCCGTCCCATCATGTCGGCTACCACTGCTCTCTTTCCCTTCGACTGATGTTTCTAGTTCAGACTGTCCTTTCACAGCCATATGCCGTCTTCTCATATACATTAGCCACCTTATTCTCTCCTCTCTTTTCAATCCCCCTTTCTCTCCCCTTTTTCTTTTTCCCTTCGAATGTGGAAGTCCTTGTTCGACAACCTCTTCCATCGTTAACGCCATATTTTTGGTGTTTTCCGTCTATCGTTTGTTTTCTTCTCCGACGCCGCTGGAGATCAGAGTCGCTCACTCGTCTAGAATGGGCCATCTGTTCTGCTCCTTGATTTAGTTTGCAACGCTGGTCGTCAACAAGTCTGGGGTTCGGTCGTCGCTTTTTTTTAATAGCCCTGGAGGCTTTATTCACGCTCTCTTGATCTTTAATAAGTTCCTCGCGTCACGTCACTCCGCTCTCGCCAACATGGGAAACCCTTTCACTGCCGCTGGTCGGGCGGTTAAGACATATGCCCGGAATCTCAAGAATGCCCCGGCGGCTCAGTATGTCACTCGTTCGGTCGCTGAGTCGGTTATACCCGACCTGACGACAATGCCGCCGCCAGCATACCGCCCGGCAGAGTCTCGCCCCGTCAGTGCCGGCAGCCTCGACGAGGTCGAAATCGAAAAAGAAAGACTGAAGGCAGCCGCCGCCCTCACGACAGGCCCTCTCCCCTCCGACAAACGAGCTCCAAAGAAGAAGAGTGGTGCCTTTGATTTTGTTGTCAAGGCGGCGGGATCCCGGTGGACATTTCTCGTCACATTGCTCCTCTTGGGCGTATGGGCTGCACTTGGCGCCGTCTACGGGCCAAACGATACCTGGCAGGTCATCTTCCAGGACATATCGTCCATCCAGTGCTACATGTCGGCCACGCTGCTCATGCGGCAGCAGCAGAACTCGACACGCTCGCTTCTCGACACTATCTGCAGTATGTTGTCTCGTTCACAGGGGAACGAGCGGCTGATTCGCAAGCTTTCCGAGAAGCAGCTGACCGCACTCAAGCGCTCACAGCGGGCGATGCGAACGGACCTCATCAATGCGCTCGACGCCAAAGAGGGCATGTTTGATCGGATCGCCAATGCAGTGTCGCGATTCCTGGGCTCCTTGTCGGCACTCGTTATTTACTGGATCGGCATTATCGTCTGGATTTTCTTCGGCATCCCGCTGATGTTTTCCGACACCTGGCAGCTCTATGTGAACACGGCGACCGCACTCGAGTTGACGTTCACGACCATGTTTCTACAAAACGTCCGCCGCCAGCACGAGGAGTACTTGGAGCGATGCCTCGCGTCCATTGACATTCTGGATCGCGGCCTCGAGATGGATCTGCGCCGCATGACCGGTGACATGCAGCCCAACCCCGTCGTCGAATCGCAACCGCTGCATCTCAACCGCACTGAGACGGCGATTGACTTCTGGGCGTTCGTGGTCGGTGGTTCAGTTGGTGTCTTTCTGTCGATCTCCGTGTTCGTTGCCTGGATAGCCGTTGGCGACTTCATGGAGTTTGACGACAACTGGTGGCTGATCATCGGCACATACACTGGCCTTATGGGCTTTATTGACGGCTTCGTGCTGCGCAATGTCCACCACCGCGAGACCGGCATGGCCGACCGGCACTTCGCCATGCTGACGCAGCAGGACTACCGCCTGTACTCGCTGCTGGACATCCCGTTCCCCGACGAGGACCAACAAACCCGCGACACGAAGGCAGGCAAACGCGTCGCGGCGCGCATCTCGCACTGGATCGGCCACGTATGCGAGGTCCCCGCGGCTACAACAGCCAGCGTGATCGCCGTTGTCGCGCTGCTTATCGTCGCATCGGCCATGCAATGGACCGAGACCGGCCAGCTGCTCTGCAACACGCCCACCATGATTGTCGAGGGTTTCTTGCTGTTGATGCTTATCGAGGGCCATAACAGCGCGGAGGGCAAGCGTCGCGCGCAGTACACGGACATCCTAGATCGTCGCCTGGCGATGGAGCGCCGCGTAGCTGCGTGGGGTGACAAGTGGGAGTTGGATGTGGAGATTGACGATGCCAGCATTGCCAATGTTCTGTTAATCAGTGAGAAGTATATGGAGTAGCGGTAGGCGTGGGGGGGGGGGGCGATAAGTTGGGGTGAGTGCTGTTTGGAGATTCTCTTCTTGTGTTTATTATTGCCTGTATACAGTCTTTCCGGACTTTGCTCTTGCGTTGGTTCGATTTTTCCTTTCCTTTCTTTTGTTGTGTGTTCTCTTTTCCTTGGTTCTCAAAATACATGGCACGACTGCAATGATTTTATAGATACGATATAAAAATTACATAAAAGACAAAAACAAATAAAAACGTAAAAAATTAGGGGTAGGATCCGTGGCATATAATTAAATAATACGTTGTCTGGCCAGTTCAATTATTTTCATGAAATGCGAAAGATTCTAAGGTTTTCTAGTTGTCGTATCCGCCATATTTGTAGTTCCTAGCCAGCCGTGACACAAATGCACCAAAGGGACAAAAGTAAACAAAATTCAAAACAATGAGCGCGTGTGTCTCTCTCTATACAAACCAAGAAGTGCAAAGCCCCAGCCAACCCGGCCCAAACTACTCAAACCTTACGTTTACTTTTTGCTCTGTAGACTTTTTACCGACCTGGAGCCGCCACTCAGGCTCCCCGTTGAAGCGCATCGTCAGGTGCATGTCGTCGACAATGCGCAGTCCTCGTGTGTCATCGACGACGGGCAGTTCGTGGTACGGTGTGTCGTAGTCGCAGAAGATGGTGCACAGCAGCGAGCAGCCGTCTTCGCGGCGGCAGGGCGGCGGCATCTGGCCGCTCGTGTAAATCATAAACTTGGTCTGCTTGCTGGCGGCGCTGGTGACGTACTCGTAAAACTTGTGCGACACGGGCTCGCGGTTGTCCATGAACTCGCCCTGCTTCAGGTACCACTGCATGCGCCAGACCCGCTGCTGGCCGTCGGGCTCGGTGCTGATGCGGTCGACACCCGGCTCCACCGGCGGCAGCGCGTGCTGGAGGGGCACACCCGTCTCGACGCCGTAGCTGTAGCGGGCGATGCGGACGTCCATCTCGGGCAGGGCGAGGAGGAGTTGGCGCTGGCGCTCGTCGGTGACGGGCACGACGTCGCTTTGCGAGAAGGTGTTTTTGAGCAGCTTGATGACGGCGCCGCGGGCGACGGCGGACCAGGTGCGTTGCGGCTGCATGACGTTGCTGTACTCGGTCTGGAGCTTTCGCAGCAGATAGCGCGAGCTGCCGAGGCCGCCGACCAAGATGATTTTCTGCCACGTTAGTGATGAGACGGGAGGAGGAAGGCAGAGAGAGAGGGGGAGAGAGACGCGAGAGAGACGAGAGAGAGACAGAGAGCTTACCTTGGGCGGTTTCCCCTCTTGGGCCACAATCTTTTTGTTCTGGTCGTTGATCAGCTGCCGGATGCCCTGGTAGGTGTCGTCGAAAAAGTCGACAATGGTGCTGCGCTTGAGCACAAACTTGTTGTTGCCCTTGAAGCGCGAAAAGGCTGAAAAGGCCTTGATGGGCGGGTGCAGGTAGAATTCTTGTTGCGTCTCGCTGCCGGTAAAGGAGCGCTTGATGGCGTACTCCCACTCCTCGTAGACAAACTTGCGGAAGTCGGCTGGGTCGCAGTTGTCAAACTTGAGGCCGGACATGTGCTTCATGTGGTTTTCAAACTTGTCGTCGACCATGAAGGCGCCGCACAGCTTGCCGTCGCCCTTGACGGCCTCGTGGATCACAAACGGCGTCTTCTGCATCACCTTGTAGCTGATGATGTCGATGGTGCCGCCGCCACAGTCCACGACCATAAACGTCTCGCCGACAGCCATCTCCGGGTAGGCGCGGCGGTCCAGCAGCGTGGCGAGCGCGGCCGCTTCGGGCTCTTCGACCAGGATCAGCGTCGTGTCGTCAATGTCGCGCGGCTGCAGGATGCCGGCGCGCCGCGCGGCGTTCTTCATCATGTTGCGCGCGTACTGCGGCCAGATGGCGGGGATGGTGATGGCGACCTTGAACGGCAGGTCCTGGAGCGCCTGCGCGTCGATCTGCAGCTCAATCTCCCGCAGGCAGTGCTGCCACAGGTTGCGCAGGTAGTCGGCAATGAGGTCCACGACGCCGTCCTCGCCGAGCAGGCTGGCTTGCTGCCGCGCGGCCTGCAAGTACGGCGAGTTGCGGATGTCGTCGCGGATGTCGGCGTCGCGCAGCAGCAGCAGCTTGAACCACTTGATGGGCGAGTGGCCTTGCGCCACGAGATAGCCCCACGCACCGGACCGCTGGTCGTACTGCGTCGGTACCTGCACCTCGTCGCGGCTGTTGTAGGCCGTGCCGACGCAAGGGTACTGCTGCACGTCTTTGATGTCGGTCGGGTCGCCCGAGAAGGCCCACGACACGCCCGAGTACGTTGTGCCAAAGTCGATGCCAATGGCCACAAACCGCGCGGCCGACGGCGGCAGAGGCTCGATCTTGGCCGCGCCACCGGGCCCGCCCACGTTGGATATTGGCCGCGGCAGCTCGACGGGCACGTACGTGGGCATGGGCGGTGGCGGTGGCGGAGCTGGGCGCGGGTGGTACGGCGGGTGGGCGGGTGGTATGTGCGGCGTGTGTGGTATGTGTGGTATGTGTGGTATGTGTGGTGCACCGTTCCCCTCCACGGCACTGCCCCCTCCCAAGGACATATTGGCCAGACCCGCGCCGAGAGTTGACATGGTCGGCACCGTGGGCAATGAATGGCTGGGGACGGTGACGTTGCTTACTGCTGTTGTCGTGGTGGGCGGTGTGGAGAGGCTGGGCTGGTAGTGCAGATGTGATGGCACGGGCCCCGGTGTCGGCGGCAAGGATATGGGGTCGAGCCCGGCGAGGGACGGGAAGCGGTAGCGCATCTCGACGGGGATGTTGGGCCCCATGGGCCGCGGTGAGGCTCTCGACGACGACGGTGACATGAGCGACTCGGTGTCGGCCATGGTGGACGTGACCGAGGGTCGCCGGGCCGGGTCGAGGCCAGTGGCGGGTGCAATGTTGATGCTGCCGCCGACGGCGCTGCCATGGCCACGCCCGCTGCTGCTGGAGGTGCCGCTGCCGCTGCCGCTGCCACTGTTGATGTTGGCACTGACGGCGATGCGGGCGTCGTCCGGCAGCTCGTGGATCCAGCTGCGCAGCGACCTGCGGTTGGGGTGGCCCGGGAACGAATACTGGAGGTTGAAGTTGAAGGGCGACGGGTTGGCGATGGGCTGCCCGGATGTCGTGGCGGGCGGAGACGATACCGGCGATTCGGTCCGTGTGGTGCTGCCGCTGATGTTAATGCTGCCCGTGTTGTTGTTGCCGATGCTGCGCGGTGCCGCCTCGTCCTCTGGGATCTGCTCGTCGTGCGGGAGGTTGTGTCGCGGTGGACCAGTGCCCACATCGGGCGCATCGCCGTATGGCGGCATCTGGTCGTGGAGGTTTTGGGTTTGAGCTTGCGGTTCGTCGCGTTGGGTCATATCGCGGAAATAGTTCCAGCGGTCGCTGCTGGAATAGGTTGACTCCATTGCGAGTTGTAGGGAGAAGGTGCTGAGAAAAAAACAGCAAAGGAACAAACAATAAAAACGGTCGAAAGCTCAAATGAAACAGACAGCTCAATGGGTTGACAGGAGGAGACGAAATTCAGAAGCAGTCCGTGACCGAGCTCGAGATGATGGGGAGTATGCGGCCGTTATCGTGACGACCCGTAATGCGGAAGAGTAATACGAGGAGCAACGTTGGTTCGAGTTTTGAACCGGTTGGTCGTACATGTGCTCGAGCGGTAGACAGACAGACGAATGCGACGCACCAGGAACCAAGGTGGAAGCAGGAGAAGCGAAATCCTGCGAAGAGAAAGATGCCTCAGCCTTCTCGAGAAAAGGTGGCAGTAAAATTGCACTCTAGCCGCACATTTCGTTGTGTTAATGTGATGGCAGATCCCTTGTCCGGTCCCCCGCTCTGATGTCAATATTGACGGCCGGCGCTGCAATATGCTGGGGAATTGGAGGCTCTTTGCGTGCCGAGAGACTTGTTTGCCAGGCGCCTCCACGAGGCTGAAGAGGTGGGACGCCTGGAAAGCTGAAATAATGGAAACAAGCGAACCTGGCACAGGACGCCAGGACAGGTCCAGACCCGGGAAACTGGAAAGGCGATGAGAGCATGGTAAGCAGCATTTCGAGAGTGTCATCCAAGATTCCTGGGCTGGGCCTCAACCCCCTGTGTCCCTCTCGCTTGACGCTCTGCTCTGCCAGATGTCTCCCCTGCCATTTGTCTCCTCTGTTCCTCTCTTTCTCTTCCTCTTCTTCTTCGTCTCCCTTTTCTTCTCCCCTCTCTCCGTCCCCTCTTCTTCTTCGACGACCCCGTGCGTTGGCAGCTTGCCATATCGGGAAATTGTAGCCAATACATTTTGAGCCTCGTCTAAGCCCCACTGCACGCTGCCTGTTTATTGTCCAGCGTTTCGTCGAAGGCGACCGTCGCAGGCGACCCGTCGAACCTTGAACGGCAAGGCGACGATCATTGGACCCCGCCGCCAGGCAGACTGGTGCCGTTGGGGGTTTCCTAGGAGCCTAGGTGTGGCCCGAGCCCATTTGCCATGCAGAGCCCCAATATTGGCCGGATCTTAGCTTGAATTGGAAGTGGAAAAAGCCGGCACTGCTTTGACAGCACCAGCACTCTCTGTAGCCCTCTTGTTGTTGGCGGTGTAAACCCAGTTCGTCTCACAGTTCGTCTCCAAGCCAGGTCGAATCTGGTTCCCCGTAGTGGGCTGTCGCCTGTCTTATGTCTTTTCGTCAGCGTCTCGGAAGACGGCGTCGAGAGGCTGCTGTGACGCTGCACAGCCCCATGGACAGGCAGCACTGGCGAGCCAGCAGCAATTGATTTGCCTCGTGTACTGCTGTTGCCCGACAGCGTGTATGACGTGTTTGTTGATAGGCAGCTATCAAGCAGAACGTCCCCAGAAGCCATTTTGAACAATTTTCGGCGCCAAACTGAGCTGTAATTGGAGAGCCCTGCCCGAGCCCGTCGAGCCCAGACTCAACCCTGCCCGTGTTGTGTGTCGTTTGCACATCTGGTAACTGGCCTGGTCTGCGCCTTGTTTCGCCCGACAGGTTTTCTGTTTTCTTTCCCACAGTCCTTTCTCGTCCCAGCTGGCAGGACCGGACATGTCGACCAGGTCGTTCTATACCTTGGTCGTTCTTTTGACGTCGTCACCGTCCCTTTGCCGTGGTGTTTTTGCCCTCGCTAGCTTCTTCTCCAGGGCCAGGGCACGTCGTGGTCGGCTGGTTGCCTCGAGCTCCGGTGCTATTTTTATCTCTGTCTTTCAGTCGTCGTTTTTATTCTATTTTATTTGGCCCTTGTACTGCCTTTTGCTGTGCGGTCTTGTGCTTGCTGCTCTCTTGCGGCGTGCAGCCAGCCGCAGCTCTTTGAACTGTGGACTCGAGCCGAACAGTCGCATGTTCTGGTGTTCTTGTATGTCCCATCCATCATTTCCCATCCGCACATTGTGCACCGTGCACACGCCATAGGCAGCATACTTTGCGGCTCCGCTTCGTCCTTCGTCGCTGACTCTCATATATGGTCAGCAACTGGCCTGTTTTGTCTCCGAAAGAAGAAAGAGAACGCCACATTTTCCGTCGTTTGTTCGGATTGCTTGCGAGGTGCATCGGAATGGATGCGTCCAGAGGTCGACCGCCTTCTGTCGGCAAGCAGCACCGCCTTTCCGCCTCCGGCAAGCTCCTTACCAAGGAGCGGAGACGGTCGTCGTCGCGGTCGTCCATTTTGCGCCGTCTCAGTATGTCTGCCAACAATGTGCTAAACGCATCGGACGACGTTTCGACGTCCGCACCAGCGCCAGCGGCACGACAACCCGACAATGCAGGGCCCGGCAGCGTTCTGCCTGTTCAGAGCAGCAACAAACATCAACGTCAACAGCCAGTCGAATCGACGCCGGCACCGTCGGGTGGGCTCATGTCGTTCCGCAAACATTTTCGACGGTCAAAGAAGCAGCCTCTCGTCGCACCGGAGAGTGGCGTCGCTCCCACTAGGGATAGAGGCGGAACTGCCAATGCGCCGACGATCAGCGCCGGGAGTGAGACGTCGCCCACCATCGGGACCGGGGTCGCAAGTGACATTGCGAGTGGTGGTGGTAGCGACAGTGGTGGCAGTGAGAGCGAGAGTGTCATTGAGCCTTACGACAGCGCCGAGAACGAAACTGGCAGTGAAAGCATCATCGAGGCCTCTCGAAGCGCAGAAGACAACCTCGGGAGTCTGGATCCAACGACGACTGTTGGAATGCCACTCGTTTCGACACAGACGGCGAGGGCGAGGGCACCAAGCGTTCCAAAGACGGACAACCGGACGATAACACCGTCCATCCCGGCGAGTGGGAGATCGGACAACGAACCTGCCGACCAGCTGCCGCATCCTGAGCTGGCTCACCATCCGGAGCCAGCACAGCAGACCTCGACAACCTTTGTCGTGCCCGGTCCTCCTCCCCCAGTGCCTCCGAAGGAACCGAAACCGGCTAGTATCCTATCACCGCCAACCATACAGCCCAAGATCCCGGCACCTCCAGCGGCGGCCGGAGGCCCCACAACACGAGGGCCCCCTGCGCAGACCGACAGCGCGAGCAGCGCGCCGCCGTCAAAGTCTGTACCGAGCCTCCAAGCAATTCAGAGGGCAAACCAAGAACGGCAACAGCAGAATCCAGGTGGCCGTGTCTCAGCGCCGGTGACGATGAAAGATGCAAAGGAAAAGTCCGGTGGCATTCTCGGCGGCTTCAAGAAACTTCGGCGCTCTGATACTAAGCGTGGCAGCAGCTTGGATACCGCACGACCGCAACAGCCGCCTGCAAATACGAGCACTGATGCAACAATCAACATGCCGACGGCAGTCGCAACCTTGACCGTGAACGAGACTGTGGCGTTGGCACACGCGTCGGTCTTACATCAGACAACGCCGCAGGCACATCCGTCTCAGCAGCCACCTCCGGCCCAGGCCACAGCCGTGCCTCCCCCTCCACCCCCGATTCACTTGCCGCACAGTGAAGGTCGAGGAATCGACATCGACCATGTACCGGATAGTTTGCGTCCGGGAGGTGGTCAACCTGTACAACAGCACCGCCAACATCAACACCAGCTCCAGCAGCAACAGCCGCAGAGCCACCGACCTGGATACGAGCAGCCACCTCAACAGACGGAAATTGTACAGCAACAGAAACAGCAGCAGCAGCAGCAGCAGCAACTGCAGCAACAACCCCACCAACACCAGCAGCAGACTCCATGCCACAGCTGCAAAGCCTACTATGAAGCTGCGTGGGCGCAGTCCGAGATGAACATGTATGCTCTATCGTCACAGCTGGCTGCTGCCCACCAGCAGAGCGCAGGCCAGGTTGCCCTTTTGCACGAACGAGACGCCGAGATTGCCGAGCTGAACGCCCTCGTCGGCCGCCTGCGCACCCGTATTCAAGAGCAGGTGAAACAGCTCGAGCAACTGCCCGCTGGTCTACCAGGACTCAATACCATGTCGGGTCTCAATGGCTACGCAGCCGGCGGTGTCGGCCAGCTGCCCGATGGCCAGATCCGTTCTCGATGGAAGGGCCTGCGCTGGCAGATCCGGCAGTGTGTGGAGTCCCGCTTGGCCGCTCTGCCGCCCTCGTCTGCGGCGTCGGTGCCCGTATCGTCCGAGCGAGCACCCTTTTTGCGGCGCCTAACGCCCGACTTTGACAAGTTCTTAAACTCGCGCAAGGGTTCCGTCTATCTCGTGGAGGCAGCCATCTGGGCTGTTTTGGCGGATAGCGTGTTTGGTGGCGCCCGCCGGTCGAGCCGCATGTGTTGGGCGGCACGCTGGTCGACGTCTCTCGCAAAAATGAGTATGTACACATCCCTTTCACCTCCTGGTGTCAATCGTGATCATCGTTAAACGCATACTGACAGATGCAGACGACAATATGATGTACAGTCGCTCGACGGATCCGACATTCCACCAGTGGCGTGTGCAGACGGCTGTTTTTGTGAGTAGCCTGGATGCACCGGCCGAAGGCGACCAACAACAGCATCAGCAGCAGCAGCAGCAGCAGCAGCAGCAACAACAACAACAACAACAACAGCAGCAACAGTCGGTTGTGATTGCGCCATATGTCGAGGCGGTCGTGCGCCAGCTCGAGGTTGAAGTGGGTGTTTTGCTGGCTCTCGGGACAGGAGGTCCGGGTGGCGTTGAAGATGGAGGAGCCGGTGGTGCCACAGGCCACAGGGAAACGCCTCCTCCTCCTTTGTCACCGACTTCGTCTTCTTCGTCGTCGTCCGCTCTCCGGCATCAGCTCTATGATGTGGTCTCCGAAGCAATTGGCCTGGACGCGGATCTGTGCCAACAACGTGCATGGTTCTATGTCCATTACCCAACGTCGACAAGCGGCCAGCACTACGGCATGCCATTCGACCCACGGGAAATGGAGTCGGTCAATGTGACAAGCGAAACGACTCCGGCAAACAATGGGGATGGAAGTGAAACTTACCCTAGACTCTCCATGTCTGTCATGAACAGCAGCAGTAACAATGTCAACAGTGTGAGCACCAGCAATGGCCACCACGCGTCTGACGACATCACTCTTGTTGTGCGCCCAGCTCTGTTTAAAGCGGGAAACTCGCGTGGCGAGGATTACGGCCAGACAGTGTCGATCGAGCCGAGCATTGTGTGCCAGACGACACCTACCGGGCGTGGATTCCGGCGATGGGCAGGCGGTCGACGTGATCGGTCGCGGTCGAGAGGATGAACTCGTGATCCCTAGAATATTGGTGTCAAGTCCGAGTGTTGTCGTGAAGAACGGGTGACCGACACATTATGACCTGTGTTTTCTAACCCATGCAGACCTAACATCATGTTATGTTGTATCTTTGTATTCGTTTATATCCAATTTAAATTCTCCGTTTGATGTATGCAGGAGACACAAAGAAGCTTTTCGCGAAACTCAAAACGACAAAACGGCAACCCAAAAACAAATAACATTCCAAGAAAACGAGCAATTGTATTATCGTGTAAGAAGGAGACGACCTGTCACTCTTCAAACTCCCAACCCAACGCCGTGCTAAAACGAGCAATGAAGGCAAACGCTGCCCGAGCTCCGCCCAAAAAGACAAACTCGTACACGGATAGTATGTAGCGGTTAAGAATGTGCACAAGCAAAGCAGACCGACAAGTCCACCGAGAATAGTAAATGCCAAAAAAGTGAATGACGAGATCGCTTGTGTCTCATTATCATCGTCGCTTCAGATTAATTATTTGAAGGCTTGCCGATGCCTACTTCGGCGGAGGTGTGTTGCTGCTGCAGGTTGGCGTTGGACGCAGCCGGCCTGAGACGACCTGCACGCCGCGGTGGTGGTAGCTTGGGCGGCAGCTTTTTAATGCCCGCGCCGGCAGGGTGTGGAGAGGTGCGGTGTGTGTGGTGCGTGTGGTGCGTGTGTTCATGGGCCGTGTGTGCCGCAGCTGCTGCAGCTGCGGCTGTTGGGTTGGTTTCGCCGGATGCAGTGCCGTTTTCGTTGGATGTTGGTGCGGACCCAGAGCCCGCCAGAGCCTTTCCGGCAGCGGCTGACGCCGCCGAAGGAAGCGGGGGAGGGGGTGGTGGAGGTTGTTGATGAGGCTTCACGAGAACCACACCATGGCGATGCTTGGGAACAGCTGGTACAGCGCGTTTTGCCCCTCGTCTGCGCTCTGGCGGAACGGCGGGTGGTGCAGATTGTTTTGCCTTGGCTTTCGGGCTGGATGGTGTGGGACACGGGGGTGGATGTCCTTGGTTGAAGAGGTCTTCCTCCTTCGGGACAAACTCGACAGTCACAGCCGGTATAGGGTGGCTATCATCTCCCGCAGTGGCAGGGCCGGCCTTGTTATCCTCAGAGGACCATGCATCATAGTCGTCGTATGCCGAGTTTCGTAGCTCGGCCTCCGTGAACTCGGCCTTGCGGCTTGGCGTTTTAATACCAGGCTTTTCCTTGACAGCAGCTACATCTTCGACGCTGGCACGGCTAAGGTGGCCGTCAAGTGACAGGCTGATACCAAGGAATTTATTAACAACCTGATCGCGGTCTGCCTCGCCAGCGTTCTCTTCGGTGTTATTACTGTCATCAGTGATGAGGCTGCCAACAGTTGCGACGCTTCCGGCACTTGAAGAGG